ACGCAGACTGTATACAACGTTGCACAACAGAAAATAAAAAAAAAAAAAATCGTTTCCCCACGATTTTATTAGTTTTGAGATCGTTTGGCCTCAAAATCGTAATCATGATCAAATTTCGATTAATTGAGCAGCCTTAGTAACCGGTTACTTTAAAGATTAAGATTTTACATACAAACCATGACGAGTCTATAAAATACGGTTTCATTTTCTGTTAAAATTGCGTCGATTGGCCCAATGGGGGGGCGGCACTGTAACTGCCACACTTACAGGTCAAAACAAGGTCACACAAAGATTGATGGAGAATGTTAATCACATACTGTAAGCTCTATAACTCCTCTTATTTCCCTTTCAGACCCTACATGTACGACACGCCGGCCACTTACAGAAACTCCTCTTTGAAGTCGACACCCATGAAATCCGGTCACGATGCTTCGAAGGCACCCAAGTCGTCTCGCCTCATCCCACTGTGGGTGCAGTTTGTGTTCTTCCTAGCTGTGGCCGTCTTCCTCTACATAGTTTTTTCCAGTATGGAGACGAATGAATCCATCAAAGCAATCGAATGATTTTTTTTTTTTTTTAATGAATGCTCGTTTTATGGGGGTTGTTGCTTTATACTTTATTATGCATTTTAATTGGAGGAATGTATTTTGGTTAATGGCTTTATTTTAGACGTTGCTGAAATTGTGATTGATGCAATATTTGTGCGTTTTATAATTGCAGTTTATTTGCTTGCTTATGCTTAAGTGTAAAATACCTAAATTGTCAGCAGGTTTCAGTACAGTAGCACTACTACAACAGACGAGGACAGCTGTACAGATGATCTGTTAAGGTGTTGGAGATGATCACAGTGAATATATCTGCATTGGAAGATCACACTTGAAAACTGACTTTTTTTTAATCCACATACAATTCTTGACAGGAAATATCCTATAATATCACACCAGCACAAATCTCTCATTAGAGGTAATAGACTATTGTTTAAATTTGAGTTGTCATGAAGAGAATCTGTCTCTAATGTCACCAGTTTAAGAAACTTTTAGTTATTTTTCTCAGCACGTGTCCAAAAACACCAACACTCGTGTCAGTGTGTAGTTAACCATTCAGCATCAAAGGTATTTCTACGTAGCGTCCCAAAATGATACTTTTCTTCAGTGTTGCAGTACTCGGTAACAAGGGTGTCTAAAAGTCTACGATTCTTTAATGTGTATGTTAATTCACAAATCTTTGTAGTTTCTATAATCTTGGGGTACAACAGTGCTTCCTTTTGTCAGCTATCAGAAATAACTGTATTAAAGTACAGTTGGGACAGTTTTCAGACCAGCTGTAATTCAAGTGCCTCAGTGGTTTTTAGGAATAATTGGGATATAATTGTTTGTTTTTTTTTAATCTCGGGGTACAAATATTAAATTGCACTGTTTATACGAGCTGTAATGTTTATGAAAACATCAACATGTTTTGTTTCAATAGACTCAGTTCAGAGATATCACACTTTTGTACTACGTAACCCAACCGTTACATCCTGTAAGTTTGCTGTGATTTGTTTTGTATTGATGTCTCATGAGTCAAACTATAAAAGAGCTTGTATATGTAAAAAAATGAAGCTTCAAGTAATCTATTAACAAATTGTTTAAAAAATTGAGGTTATAAAAATAAATTCGCTATATTATGCATTATGTAAAGTTTTTTTCCTCTTGTGCAGTTTGATCTGAACAAAACTGACTGAACCCAAAAGCTCCAACAACAGCAGCATTTTAATCAACTACAGCTTCTATTTGCACACCTTTAAGTGCTGCAATGTACATATTGTAAATGACATAAGATGCATAGTAGGGTTAGACTTAAAATACAAAAACATCTTCTAATCCTTTAAGGATCCTTGATCTGTTGAAGCGAGTACATAATAAGCTAGTGGAGCTTGTGGTAATAAATACAAAACATTGGGCCTCAAGCAAGAAGCACTCGTACGAACATATTCGTTCTGAAGTGGCTGGTAACACTGAGATCTTGTGGCATTCAACAATGTTCTTTTTGTTATTAATGTTATTTTGAATTTTCTCTTGGGCACAAACACAATTTAAGGATTATATATCCCCTTACTATAAAGAATTTAATTACATTGATATGTTTGACTGTACAGTCTGAATTATAGCTCTAAATGTATCATGTAGCCTAAGGATGCCTTCATTAATTTAAATATGCTATTAATGGGCTTCTCTTCACATTCAGGAGTGTGCAGGTTGCTGTCCAGGGAAACGTCCTCTGTTGCAATATTGTCTTTTTTCATCTGTTTTAAATGAACACTTCCATTTAACCCTCATGGTCATCGTTAGCCTTGCTTTTCATTTTAAACCACTTCTTATTGATTTCAGCAACAGTACAACCCTCCGGTGACACGGCGCTGACAGCACTCATTATTTTTCCCGGTCCTTGGCTTTCGCAGGTCCTTTAATTCCACTCCTGACACTGTTTAAAATCGATCTCCAAGGGCACAACTTTAATCTCCGAGCTCAAGTTCTTTTTACTCTCTGTACCCTTTTAAATGAATGAACACACGGGGCAGGCTGTCTAACCATACATGGTATTATCGGGATGTGTTGGTGAGCTTTCAGTTCTCATAAACGCTCGCTCCATTACACACAGGTGGCATTCATCATTT